ACTGACTCGGGACCAGAACGCAGGCGAGGTGCCGAAATAGGCTTATCGGGCTACATAAACCCGGCTCCCGCAGGATGAGGGTTAAAATAATTTCACAGTTCTCTCTGCTGTGATTCTCCTATGTAGGTTACTGTTGTGATCCAGTTGCCATTGTTGTACACACAGCTATCATTAACTAAAACAAAAAATTCTCACTGTGATAGGAGAAAATTGCTCTCAAAGAAAGCACTTGTGCAGTCAGTGCTTGTATTATGTTCTAGAAATGCTAGATACCATTCTGAACATTATATTCATAGCAATGTTCTTTGTGTCTGCCCCATGTATCATACATCAATACACATGGGTTAATTGAGGCATTCACTGAAGAAAAAATAGTCCCAATATCTTCAGCGACAGCTGAGATATTATCACAGAAAGAGGATTTGTCTGTAGCAAGACTGAAACCTGCTGAATGGCACCATGATTTTCTGACTCAGCTTATTCAGAAGGTGTGGAGCCAATTAAATATTCGAAGTGACTATTCGGACGAGAATAGACAAAAATTATATTCGGACTCTGAATTGAGTCCTACATGACGTCCGTTCCGACTTCCGACCCTTGTTCCTAAATATTTCCAGCATTTATGAATTTTGTAAAGATTATAATGATAACAATCGAGGCGTGAACTTTAATATCCAGTTACTAGATCTATCTAAACTGGCCCTCCCTGCATCATAAATATGAACAGAACAACCAAGTGGAGTTGATCTTGGCGGGGGCAAAGTTAATTATGTTGACCAATGAGATTGCTCGGCTTGATGGGGGAAGAGGTGTTGGGAAGAGGCCATGGCTGTCGGTGGTGTGCGATGTGATTAAAAAAAAAAACTACAGAAAAACTATAACTCACAACAAAATGATATTAAGGCATGTAACGGGTCTGCAAAATACGATATTTGAGTCAAAAATTTGATTTTTTACTGTGTCCATTTTAGGGTACCTGAATATCTCAAGAATCGATATCGCTTGATGTTTCTTTAAAAAAAAAAAGACAAGAATTCACCGTTAGGGGCGTTTTCCGGAGGGCACACTTCTCAATTGTGCTCTCAAGCTTTTCTTTTTTCAAGACAAACGATCAAGAGGATCAAGATTTCTGGCAGTTGAGCAAGATACAGGGCTCCTCTTTTGTAAATTTTGGGTTGTCTTGAACAAAACGAAACCCCATTGCTAAAAATAATATTTTATGACGTCAACACTCAGTTGTATATGCCGCGTAGCATATTATTATGGTCTCCAACAGTGCTTTATTATCACCGTTGTTCCTTTTTTCGATTAGAGAGTCATTTGAAGTACTGCCACTGATGAAACCGTCTAATTCGCTTTTGTATTTGACAGCACATAATACTGTTTCTGATCCCTCATTTTTTTTTTTGTAGGTTACAGAGCAGGGAAATCTAAGCTAAGTTTCCCTTTTTGGCATATATTGTACGATCTTACCTTCTTGTCTTACTTGTCCACTGTGTTGGGGTCACTGCTGTCAGAACATGTCCATCTCTGCTCTCCCCCCCCCTTCAGGATCCATCCCAGAGTCTGTCTGCTTATAGTCTCCCTTATAATCTGGTTGGAGATCCGTCGGACTGGTCCTCACAGATGGCTGTGTTTCCCCTCTCCTCTTTGGATCCCCTTCTCCTTCAATCTACCTAGAGTGTGGGAACCGCTATCGGCCCTATTCTTCCTAAAATTTTTCCCTTACAGCGGTTAGGACGGTTGGTGGGTCCAGTGTCAAATTCCCTCCCGCTTTTGATTCTCCAGCCAGCTTGTCTGCTCTCTCGTTGCCGGTTACCCCCGCGTGGCCCAGGCAGAAGATCCAGGCCACTCTTTCCAGGCTGCTCTCCCTGATTGTAGCCTTCCAGTCCGCATACAGCATCCCTTTCTTTACATTCTATAGTGTGCTCATTGAGCCAGTAATGATTGATTACCCCCAGTGGGTTGGGGGGATATAAATAGACCCACTGCTTCGTCTGCAGAAGGTGCAACCCCTTCAAAGGCGAGGTGTCCACGGTGCACCGGCAGTGGAATTTTAGTTGCCGCGGGGGGTTCCCCGCCGG